TTGATCCCGCGGAATCTTAGAGGGATCCCGCATTTGCGGGATTGCATTCCCTACTATATAGTAAAGTATTTTTTACGTGATTACAGTGGAAGAAAGTACTAAAAACATCGTCAAAACCGCCTCTGTAGCTGTGGGATCGTTAAAAGACACCGAATTTGACATTCGATTCAATCCTGACGTGTATTCTCCTGGTATCAGGCATTCTGACAGCTTAGATCCTCCATTGTCTAAACAAAAACAGCTGGTCAAAGATGCCGCCGAATTCTTGCTGACAGTACAGATACCTACTTTCGTAAGTCTTTGTATATACAGATTGTCTAAATAAATTGATTACATCATGTGAAAAAAAATTAATAATTTCTTTTCTGGATAATAGTTTCTGTATCTCGGTAAACCTACAAAATTATCTGACTATACGTGGACTAAATTTTGATATTTTGAAATGGTACTGATTTTCAAATTTTTATAAGGTGTTGGTTAATATCAGGGATGAACGTGTAAAAATCTGTAATGTAAAAAACTATTTTTTACGTGTAAAAAACATGTTGTAAAGAGAAAAAAAAATATACTTATTTTTTCGGAATAGTAAAGCTCCTTTAAATAACTGTTTACTATTAATAACCAATAATTTTTTTTTATTATATTTGTTTTTTTACTGATATTATTCTTTTTAATTTGTGTAAAAATCAAAATTTATGCCAAAGTAATTTAAGTAGAGTAATAACAGGTTTTGCTTTTTTACATTTTTACGTGTATTTTACACCAAAAAGTAAAAAATAGCTTATCTTATAACGTTTAAAACCCATCCCTGTTTAATATTCTTCCTTTAATCCCTTAATTATAATTTTATTTTAAATTGTATTTTTTTACATTTGTTTTTACAAAATTTTAGTAAAAAATAAAATTTAGCTAAAAAATATCACCAATATACAGAAATCTCAGTGTATTTTAAAAACATTTTTCAATAAAATTCTTTTGAGTTTAATTATTGTCAAAATACCACTTCAAGATAAAAACATTTGGCACATATACCGCATGATCGAAAAAAAACTCTTTCTGCTCGGATATGAACATCAACGACGTTTCCCACATAATTTTACATATAAAATGACTCATAGCCATCGCTGACGCCGTTTTTTTTTTCGATCATATTGTACTTCAAATACCGCTTACTGTCGCTTCGGAAAACTAAGCTATTCTGTGGTAAAGTGAAAAAAACTTGGCGAAGATTTAAGTATACCGTTTGTATACAAGCAAACTTTCATCAAATTCCCTCAAAAAATTAAACGGATTAAAAACGACGTATAGGGTCGACCCGACAGAAATTATCATAGATTGTAGTTTCAATGGATTACTATGATGCCGTTTTTCGTGTTTATTGAGATGCAGAGATTGTTATAAAGGAATAAACAAGCAGGGGTTGAAGAGAGTTTTAATATATTTTCTTTATATGTAACCAATTTTTTGGAAGTGTAAAAATATTAAATTTAATTTTAAATTTTCTGTTAAAATAGATTAAGGGATTGCTGGACCATTCCTCGGCACCAATGGACGGTGTAACGTTATCCGAAGCTATGCACAACCGCGGTATAAACATCCGTTATTTGGGCAAAGTAACCAACCTTTTGGCCAAAGTCAAGCAGCTGGAATACCTCCACAGTATAGCCGTAGCCGAGCTGATTCTGAGATCGGCTAAACACATTTTCACTGTATATCTCCAAGGGTGCGAAATGATGAATTTATCAGTGGCTATAGCGCATTTCTTGAACTGCTTCTTCTATTCTGGAGTCGTGGCGAATCCTCTACAAAATGTCGATGAGGTAAGAATTGTATATTTTTTCTTTTTTTATTTTTATTTTAATTTATTTTAACACATAGAAAATAATCAAAATGTCGTTTGATTAGCCTTGTATGTGTTAAAATGACTGTATTTTTTAATTTTATCTTTTTATTTTTTTTGGTAATTTTTCTTTGTTTTTTTTTGTCTAAATTTTTCTCTCTTTAATTATTTTTTTTATTAAATTTTGAATCTTTTTACAGTAATAATTTAGGGTAAGTTTATACCCAAAAAAGATGGAAAACTTCGTTAGTTTGTAACAATATACAGGGTGTTTTATTTGAAATAGTCTTTGAATAAGAAGACTAAGGAAGGAGCATATCAAAAATCTTAGGTACACCGCGATGGGCCTCAAATATGGCCGACTTAAATTCCGGTTTATCAGTGTCGTTCTAATTTTATTTAAAAAATGTAAAACTATGATGTAGGGTAGACGTGGGGTAGACTCAATAATATGTTGTTTTATTTTACGTTGTGAATAAATGTTGGTAGTTATTAAAATTGTTACAAAAATATATAATTCTAATAAAAATAGATAAGTTATAATAATTATTTATTAACACAAACACTACTGAAGCTGGTAAATCAAATTGACGTATCTAAATTTTTTGACATCTAATCTTTGACAAGTAGTAAATAAAAGCGAAAATCCAAGAAAAAATATATAATTAGTTAATTTAAGTGAATTTCATAAATGATCGGTTTACTACACGTATGTATATTATATAGTCACTTACTACCGAAAAGTTGTTCCATTATTTCACTCGATTTTTGCCGAGATCTACCGTACGCTACACAACCAACTATTTTAGAGTCTTTTTCGATAAATCGCGATAGTGTCACTGTTAATTTAAGTTCTGCCACAATTTCCATCTAGATTTACTACCTTTATACAACTATCAGTAGTAGAATAAATAATAAATAACGTAAAATAGCTCCGTAAAGACTGACAAATCCACAAAATTTCAAATCAAATTCAAATGTGTCAAAATGAATCGTCAACAAGTCAAGGATCCCCCACCTAGAGTGCTTTTATGGCGCTTTTCCATACCATGCATGAATACGCATGGATAGCATTATGCTCCTTCCTTAGTCTTCTTATTCCAAAGGAAATAGTAGAGAAAATATAAAACATCTATTTTGACTCGCCCTGTATACAGGTGCGTTTCAGTGGCTCACCCTATAACTTTTTTATTTTTTCATATAAAAAACAGATTTGGATTGTTAGTATACCATGTGCGTCTCAACACTGGCTCACTATAACTTTTATTTTTCAGGTAAACAAACGAGATTTGTATGTTTGTATATGACATAAATTAGGATTGATTGACGTATTCAATTGTTTTCGGCCACTTCCTGTTTCACGGAAATGACTACAACTTTTGATTTAAATGGCACCCTCGGTATTTTTACGTTATTCGATAGAAAATAACACTCCTGAATAGAATGACATATAATGGGTGTTCAATAATATAATGACATATAATGTGTTATGTTAGGATATATACTAACATACCAAATCTCGTTTTTTGTATCATGAAAAAAATAAATAAGTTATAGGTGAGCCACTTTTGACCAGCACCCGGTATACATACCATAATATACCAACCAAATATAGCGTGTTTTAGTATAATTACTCATAAAAATAATACTAGGAAAAAGAACGTTCTTTTTTGAATTTTTGTTTTTATTTCAAAACGTTTTTTGTCTTTGAACGACTTCATACTGCAAAAAATGTCTATACTTATGTGGCGGATTCATCTCTCCAAAAAAAATCCTTTATGGGGGCTCTGGTGCACAATAGGTCCCCACGCATTTAACACTTTTTTGGGATTTTTTTGCAAGATTATCTTAAACTGAATATTTTTAAGCATAAAAATTGTTGGATGAATGTGTTTTATCTTTAAAAAGCGGCAAAAAAACGTATTTTAGGTACAGGCGACGGACAGTAAATATGTTAAATTTTCTACACGGATTCAGTAAAAACATCACATATTAGTACTTTATTACCTTATATAGACGTGGAATGATCTAATTTAAGCACAAAAATGTAACGAATCTTCTTTGTAAGCATAAAAATTAAGAAAATATATTTATTTACATCAGCTCAAGCTAGCAATTTTATGACTTTTTCGATTGACAGTTAATCGATCATCGGTATGTCATCTATGGCCTTCGCATAGAATTTGCGACGTTGTCAATAAAATTACTTTATATGATTTTCTTCTGAAATAAAGTTGTTGTGGAGGGACTTAAAACGGTAAGTTATCACTTTAGTGCAACAAAAATTGAACTGTCTAGTAGCTTATTCGTTAGTGTGGATTATTTTAAAGCAATTTCTGAAATAAAATTTGCGGATTTTTCAGGTTCTACGAAAATATAAGTTTTTTTAATATATACTGTTTTTCGACGCGTAATCAATGAAGTTTTGTCATTAGGCTCAATTAGGTTAGCCTGGTTATTTGGAAGGTGGTAATGCATTGGTTAGCCTGGTTATTTGGAGGGTGTTAATGCAATGGTTAGCCTGGTTATTTGGAGGGTGGTAATGCATTGGTTAGCCTGGTTATTTGGAGGGTGTTAATGCATTGGTTAGCCTGGTTATTTGGGGGTGTTAATGCATTGGTTAGCCTGGTTATTTGGAGGGTGGTAATGCATTGGTTAGCATGGTTATTTGGAGGGTGTTAATGCATTGGTTAGCCTGGTTATTTGGGGGTGTTAATGCATTGGTTAGGTTAGGTTGATAGGCTGGTTATTTGGAGGGTGGTAATGCATTGGTTAGCCTGATTATTTGGAGGGTGTTAATGCATTGGTTAGCCTGGTGATTTGGAGGGTGTTAATGCATTGGTTAGCCTGGTTATTTGGGGGTGTTAATGCATTGGTTAGGTTAGGTTAGGTTAGATATTCTGGTTATTTGGAGGGTGGTAATGCATTGGTTAGTCTGGTTATTTGGAGGGTGTTAATGCATTGGTTAGCCTGGTTATTTGGGGGTGTTAATGCATTGGTTAGGTTAGGTTGGTGGGGAGTGTTTGGAAGTACGCAGATCACATCCATTTCGGAATCTTACTGAACAAATCCGGGAAAAATATATTTTTAAACAATTGTGCTAAATACTGTGTAATGATTTTATTGTCAATTTATTTTTATAGTGTTTTTGTTTTGCCTCGTTTATTATATTTTTAATTTTTCGTGTTCTTAAAGTGCGTACTAAATGTAAAAAAAATGAATATAAAGTAGAACGTTTTCGTCGATTTTACACAGGGTGAGTATGGCAACACTGTGCATAACCTTGTATTTTACTGTCTTTATGAAGGTTATAATAGGGAGTTTTCGCATTGAAATGTAGTGAAAATTTGGAATTTTCAATTATTTTTTTTTCGTAGAAAAAGTGGTTCATCCAACAATTTTTTTCTTTTAAACCATTCCATTAACTATGGGATCCACATTAAAAATTAAAAAAACCACGATTTCGTGGGGACCTGTTCTGCACAAGACCCCTTTATGGGTATTTCGCCACTGCACTGCAAGAAAAATCTACAAAATAAAATAGTTATTTTTTGTAAACACTTCTGCGTTAAACCTAAACGGACGCTGCTTGTCAGAAGTTGTGTTTACAGTTATAAAAATTTGCCTAACATAGAAAAAAATGCTTAACGTTTCGGAAAGTTTTCTCTTTCCGTCGTCGGAAGCAAAAAAATATAAAGAATCGAGAAAAAAACTATTTAAAATATTTAAATTGAACTATTCGAGAACACTTTACTTTTTAAAACAGATACGTCTAAGTTAAACTTCAAAATTAACAATTACTACCTGATAACAATTACTTAATAAGGTAAAACCAAAAAGCCCAAACTTTCTGTATGATTATTTTTAAATTTTACGTATGTTGTTTATTTATGTAATGTTCTTTAAAATCAAAGAAGCGATTGCCATACATTACTAACATCTACAGATGCATGAGCAATGCATTTTTATTAGATTGAATTAAAAAAGCCTCGTTTATTTTTCTTTTAGAGGCTATCGCTTCTTTCATTATAATTTTGGCGTTATTAAAATTTATTCTGTGCCCTGTGTCCCATGGATGCTGACAAATCTTAGATTTGTGAAAATCTCCCTTTCTTAAATAACCTTTATGTTCTTTAATTCTAACATTTAACGGTCTAGATGTTTCACCAATGCAAAATTTATCGCATTCACAGGGTATTTGGTAAATTATATTTTTTGTTTGTTGTTCTGTATTCATTGGTTTAGTATGTGATAAAATGGATCTAAGTGTATTTTATGTTTTGAAAGATGTTCGTATGTTATATTGCTTTCGTATCCTTCTTATTTTTTCCGAAACGCCTCGTATGTATGGAATTGTAAGTTGTATATATTGTGTATTGTTATCATTGTGTCTATGATTTGGGGTTTGTCTTTCGTTTAATGTTTTGTCAATAAAATATCGTGCATACTGCACGAATACCAATTTTTAAAGCCTCTCTCGAAAATTCATATTAATTCATTATAATTATTCTTAAACTATAATGACTTTTGATTAAATTCTTTTTGGTTTAGTTCCAGAGCAAGACCAACAAAAAACGTAACAAACGCCGCGGCAGAGCCAACCCTCTCTCCTGCAACGACAACAACGAATGGGCTACCCTGACGCCGAAATCCTTATGGACGCAAATCAGACAAGAGCTCAAAGCTTACTTCGACTACGATTTGGGCGCGGGAGACGTGGAAGGCATCGTGGAAACGTTCGGTTTGCAGAAAATTTCGTTGCTCAGAGGGTTCTGCTTGAAGACCGGTATCCAGATTTTGCTTAGAGATTATAATTTGGACTCGAAAAATAAGTTGATCTTCTTTGAGGAGGACATCTTGAACGTATTTCCTATCGTGAAGCATATCAATCCTAGGGCGACTGATGCGTACAATTTTTATACTACAGGTAAGAAATTGTAAAATTTAATCTCGATAAAATTTAATAAGTTCTTCAACTATAGTCTGTCCAACGACAAGATCCTTGACAGTGATAGAGGTGTCTGTCATTTTAATTTCAAAGTAATATAAATGCTTATTCAAAATATTGTAAAAAAACTGTATAAAACTGAAAAACATTAATTGAGTATTTTTTTAAATTATAGTCTGTGTTAATACAAAACAAAGGGTTAAAATACACCCTTTGTTTTGTATTAACAAACAGAACACCACATAAAAAAGAACTATTTCTTAGTTTCAAACTTCAAGAAACTTCCTGCTTATATTATTATATCCATCAATATAACTTATGTACAAATAAAACAACGTTTAATATTACACAGGACTAAATAAAACACAACATAAATAGAACAAAACATTTTATTAATAATAACACTTACTGAATTTTATACCTGAAAAATTGGTTAATTAACTTTAATCTTATTTTTTTTAAACCAGTACGTTTTGAAATTATCTTTCTGCAGTACTAAAACCTATTATTTATCTATCATGTGATGCTATTTTACAGCTACTCTAGTTTTTAGTACCATACACGAGATGGTATACAAACTTTATTGGTGGCAACTTTATTGGTTGCTAATAAAACTCTCTGTCTGGGCCAGAGAGAACACTAATAACTAAAGTGAGAGAGACCGATCCACGTTAATTTTTGAAGACTGTGTGAGTGGTGCGGCCTATGGCGTCTAACCCGACCTATGAGCGCATTATCGATATAGTAGGTTGCATTCATACCTATATACTGGCGCCAAAAATTCAAAATTTGTGTATTTGGAACCGAATCTTAATCTTTCAAGTTTATAAGAAGAAATCTTCATAGTTTTTTTAGATTATTTTGTTGACAACGAAAATTTATTATTAGACTTTAAAGCATTAAAACCTATAAATAAAATACTGTGTAGGAACATAATAATTTATTTAACTTAGTTTGGTTTAAAGTTTTTGCAGAATTCATTTACCAGGTCTTTGGTGGGTTGTGGATTGTCGTTGTGCCTTTTCTTGAACTAAAAATAAATAAGTTCAATTTTTCATTAAGGTTTAATTTTACATGCTTACCAGTTTAGGTAATCCGTTTCTGTACATGTCGTAGTGGAGCCCATACTCCAACTCAAGGCTGCAATCTTCAATATCTTTTTTATCTAACTTGGTTGGGAGTAAACAGGGAAGCACGGTTGGGTGCTCGCACAGAGTATCAGTAGGTATCCCGTAGGTATTCAATGTTTTTGATAGTCTTTATTCTATACCAAGAACCTATCAGTTGAAAAAAAATAATTTGTATTACTGGTAATTGGTAATAATACCAGGTATAATACCTAGTCGTTCCAGAGGTATCAGAAAAGAATAAGAATGTGATGTTTTACTTTTACAATCGGATTTATCCCATAGGTTATGCTTACCTATGTAAATTAGCAATGTACGAGCTAGCAACGTCGGAAAAACAAGTATTTTAAGACGTCTTGGCTCTTTGATATGTCTTTTACTATGCCCTCTAGAACAGCATGCGGCCCGTCTGGCTGCCGGTAAACGTTGCGTTTCCTACTGCCCATTGAAAGAAGATCCTATATTTTATTAGTCATTTAAATTCTACTATTGAATATAAACCGACCGAGTCTCCATAACTCAATGCGTAGAGTTTCAGACCACGAACCGAGGAGTCAGAGTTTGAATCCGGGTCAGAACAAAAATGTTTTTATTTTATTTTCGTTTATATTCTGATAGTAAAGTATTAAATATTTATTTTTTTTGAACGACCAGAATTATTTAATACTTTACTATCAGAATATATACGAAAATAAAATAAAAAAGTCTTTGCCCTGACCCAGATTCGAACTCTGAATCGTCGATTCGTAGTTGGAAACTCTACGCACTGCGCTATGGAGACATGTTCGATTTATATTCAATACTAGAATTTTTAGGACTAAATTAAAAAAAATATAGGATCTTCTTCCGATGCGCAGTAGTGAACGCAACGGATATCGGGAGCCAGACGGGCCGCATACTGTTCCAGAGAGCATAGTAAAAGATATATCAAAGAGCCAGACGTCTTAAAATACTTTCTCGAAAACGTTGCTAGCTCTTAGACTATATTATGTGCACTCACTACTCACTATTAATATTAGGTATTTTAAAATAATTACCGAGATAAAACTTACCTTTAAAGGAAATGTTTTGTCTGGATCTCAACAACAAAACAAAAATTACAAAAATGCCGAATAATCGTGGAATCTCAAATAATCAATAATGACAATCATATTACAATAAATAATCTTGTCTTCTCACAAGCTAAAAGAACAGGTACATTCAGTCAAAATCAATTTATTACTCCGATTGTCAACAGATTTTAGTTATCTCCTTCTAGAGCTAAGAAATAGAAAAAGCTACTGACAATCTAATTAATCCTGTCAAATGTTTAACTTGCAAAGTTGAAAACTCCTTTTGACTGCCTAAACGCTATGCGCGTCTGGATGCGCGGTGACAAAATAAACTTGTCTACGAAATACCCTATTCCACAAGCCCTCTCACTTTAGTTATTTGTGTTCTCTCTGGTCTGGCCACCGAATATTAACTATAAACTGTGCATTGGGTCTACAGTTAACTTTCCCTCGATTTTTCTTCCACCTAACTTCCAAAAAAAATACGTTATAACACGAACCAAAATGCAAAAGCAATTCGCAAATGTTTATCATCTTTAATCAATCTTGTTTATCGTTTATCAAAAACGCAGGTTATTTGACATAATTTGACACAAATTATAACCTATAATTTAGCAATAAGAGTTTGACAATAAAAATCCATCGTTCCGTCACTCCAATAATATTGAAATGTGATCTCTGTCATTTTTGAAATAGACCAATAAGACTGGTTAAAAACAACAAGAGACGACGCCATGATGGATTAATATACCGGGTGCGTCTCAAAAGTGGCTCACCCCTGTAACTTTTTTATTTTTTCAGATAAAAAAACGAGATTTGGTATGTTAGTATAGGACATAAATTGGGATTGATTGACGTATTCAATTATTTTTGGTCACTTCCTGTTTCACCGGAAATGACTACAACTTTTGATTTTTAAATGGCACCCTCGGTATTTTTTTACTTTATTCCATAGAAAAGTCACTCTGAATAGAATGACATATCATATGTCAACTTTTGATATTTTCGCATATGGTTTATTTGAAATTATAACATGCGGTGCATAACGACAATTTGACTCGAAATTATCGAATAATAAAAGTGTGTGATATCAAATTATTCGTAAAAAAGTGCTTTTTCCAAATATGCTAATGAGCCACCCTTGTTCCATCTGAAAAAAAATAAGATATGATTAAAAAACGATTTGTGCCAAAAAACGATATTTATCGAGGGTGCCATTTGAAAATCAAAAGTTGTAGTTATTTGTCCAGTGAAACCGGAAGTGACCAAAAACAATTGAATACGTCAATCAATCCTAATTTATATCATATAACATACCAAATCTCGTTTTTTTTATCTGAAAAAATAAAAAAGTTATAGGGGGTGAGCCACTTTTGAGATGCTCCCGGTATAAACCCATCTATATTTAACTTAAAAAATATTGGAAAGTTTTTTTTTGGTAAAATAAATAGATTGGTATGGGCGTCATCTGCTTTTTTTCTGTCATCCTCTGTCGAAATCTTACCTGAGTAATAAAACAGAGTATAATATAAGATCGAATACACAGAAAAGAGGTTTAATCATGTGACCTCTTTTGTCTATAATGTATGAATATAAACATAGTGTTTTTAACTCTTGTTAAAGACACATTCTTTATTCAAATTATTTTAATCCTACACGTGGCTTATTTTAAACAGGTCAAAGCAAGATTCAACAAGGCTACCTCAAGGACGGCTACGAGTTGATCAACGAAGCGTTGAATCTACTCAACAACGTCTATGGCGCCATGCATCCGGAAATTGCTCAATGCTTAAGAATGATAGCTAGACTAAACTACATCATGGGAGAGCACGGTGAAGCCATGGCATATCAACAAAAAGCTGTCTTAATGTCTGAAAGAGTCAACGGAATTGATCATCCATACACCATCACTGAATATGTATGTTTTTTTTTATTTTGTTTGCTTTTTTAGTATTTTAATTATTATTTTATTTTTTTAGGCTCATTTAGCTCTGTATTGTTTCGCGAATAGTCAGATTAGTACTGCATTGAAGTTGTTGTACCGTGCCAGGTACTTGGCTGTGATTGTTTGTGGAGAGAATCATCCAGAGGTGGCTCTATTAGATGTAAGT